CTTTAGCTTAAATTGCACTCATGAACTTGTTCAAGCAATAAAGTATAGAAGTTCACAATCAGCTCCAGGAAGAAACATCATATCATACAGAGCCTATAAACACATGAAGAAAAAAACACTCAAACTCCTCCTCAGAATTTTTAACAATATACTGATATCAGGTAACATTTCTAAGGAATTGAGTAAAGGTCTTATTTACCTGATTCCTAAGTCTAAGGACCAAAACAACAATCTCAGCATTATAAGACCAATTACACTCCTGGATGCAAGTCGAAAAATCTTCATAAAAATAATAACAGATAAACTGATAGATAATATAGCAAAACACTTTATTCTATGTGAGCTAAACTAGGTGACTCTGCCTGGCAATAGCATGTAAGATCCAATCCATATAATCAATAATATTGTCAAAGATATCAAAGAATTCAATAAACAAGCCTGGATACTAAGCCAAGATATATCCAAAGTATATAACTCAACAAACATTGAAATGCTTTGCTTTAACTGGTATTGCAATGCATCAAACTCTCAATACAAATTACAACACTTCTCATAAACTTGTTCAAGAATTGAACAAATATAGTCATCATATATTATGGACTCACAGAAGAATATACAGTGCTAAATGGAATAGATCAAGGTGATACTATTTCTCCTTTACTGTAAAAAATCTTTTACAATCCTCTCTTCTCTACAATTCAAGTAATATACAGAGGATACATAGTTTTATCCTATCACACAAGGTATATAAACCAATTGACTATTTGCAAAATGACCTCAATTCCTACAAGTGCATATATGGCAATAGGAATAATTCCACAAGAAATGCACTAGGCACCAATACTCTCAATATTCAACCTACTCAAAACTCACAAACATATATAACAACACAGTAAAACGATATCCAGATTGACAAACTAGCAAAAAACATCTGTAAAAAGATCACTCAAGCAAAATATATTGCAAAATAGTGCTTACTTAACAGAACACTTACAGACTTCACTGGACAATACAAATACATTCATTGGCAAAAAACATATAATTATCTACTTCCATCTCAAATTAGCAATTCAAATACCTTATTTGAAGATCAGCAAATTTGCAAGTTCTCACTAAATTTTTGGAATAATGAACTTCCTATCAAAATCAAATTATATAGCAAGAAACCATTATCATATAAAGACAATAAATACTGCAATTTCAATCAAGTGGAAGAAAATTACCATTCTTTTTTATGCTAACACAATAAAATAGACATTAAATATTAAGCCATAACAATAATTCAAGAAACAATACTCAAGCATATACCCAAAGAAAGAAAATTCAAGCACGAATTACAATAAATAGCAATATAACTTTAGACACTATACAACAGCTCAAGTTATTTATTAATGGGGCTTTTTTCAAATCTACTATCAAAACTATTAACCAAACAATTCGCAATACTATTAAAGTAAAAGACTATATAGTTAAAATATCAGTAGAATAGAAAAAATTCCTGTACTTAATTTGGAAGGTCAGAAATGAAATATTTCAAAGGTAGAAAAAGGAACACAGTATCTCAAGGAAAAAAGAAAGACATCATTAATATGAAAAGGTACCTCAAAGCCTAGCTGGATGGATAAATAAACAATCTATTAAAGATAACTATATAGACTTAATTAATTAATATATAAAACAATTTATTATCTAAACACCAACATTACATTTATCTTATCTTTTGAACCCAATGCTAGCTTTACCTTGGAAGGTTAGTCCTCTCTTAGTCTGAAGTGACAATAAGTTGTCTAGTAAATTTTTTTAAAATATTAAACAAGTCCCAAGAAGTTTAGTAGCATGTATGATATTCTTTGTAATTCCTACAATATACTGTTATGGGCTATCCCGGTGAGTCTGTCACTAATCTATAGCATTTCGCATAATCCAGTCTTCTCAAGAATACTCATAAATGATATAAAGAAGAGAATGCCTCCTATAAAGAACACTTAGGGAAGGCAGAGGCATGGTAATTGACTTGGCCAAAAGTAAGTGTCTCTTTATTGCATTCTGTTTCTTTGATATATCACTAACTCTTATCTCTATTCTCAATAAGGGCTGTTTTTTCTAACACATTCAGCTCTACCTTTTCGACATACATTGGTAAGCTATTTATACTTTTCTATCTAATAATGGCTATCTACTTTATAATCAGCTATACTAACCCTAATCTTTGCTAAACTTTTTATACTTTTCAATTACACAGAGTTCCCTTATCAGTACTTAAGTATTATCTATAGTTTCTTACCTTACGATACTCAATCTTTCATGCCAGACTTTTGGGTTTTTGGATTCTAGACCATTACGTGTAAATTGCGTTACCCACGTGACCCATAACAGTACAGTTGCATATTACTTTATCAAACTAATAAACAAGACCGAGCCAGCTTTAAAAAAATTGATTGATAATTTATTTATGTTATTAATATATAGAATTATTTATTTTTTAACAAATGTTATATAAGTGGCATTATGTTGAATAAATATTTTTCAACTAGTGTTAAATAAATAATTTTAATAATAAAATAGCTTTATTAATTAAATAGGTTAGAAAAGAAAATTCTATAGTATAGTAACATATATTAGACTTGAGAGAAATCTTTTTTATTGTGACTTTAAATAATTTATTTATAAATATTAAAATAAAAGATTTTATTAAAAGCTAAAATTAAAAAGAATTGGATTAGATTGAAGCAAACAGAAAAGAATATAAAAAATAGTAGAAAAAAAAGAGATTGAAATAAATTGAATAATTCTTTAGAGCCAATTCAATTTTTAATATATATTTTTTATATTTTTGAAATCTAATAAAAAAAAAAGTTTCTTAATAAACTTAATATAAAATGAATTATTTATACTTCAAATATTTAGAAAAGAAAGTTTAAAATATATACAATAACTTTTTATCAAAATATAAAATTTAGAAAGAAACAATATAATACTTATTTAGACTTTTAATAATTAGTTTCAAAATATCAATAATCTAAAAAAAATAGTTGAAAGATTAATAAGATATCTAGTTAAAAATGAGAAAATTATAGTAAAGAAGTGAAAAACTATTTAAGAAAAAATAGATAAATAGCTTAAGAAACTGTAACAATAAAATTAAAAATTACAACATTTAATTTGTATATATTTATATAAAAACAAAGTCCATCTAATTTAAGAAAACTTCAAGCATTAGTACAAAATAAGATGAATAACTATAAAAAAAGCCTCAAAGAAATTTGTTAATATATGCAAAAAAAAAAAAAAATCTTGAATATTTATTATTTCACTATAAAAAATTATTAAAAAATAGAAAATACAAGAAAAAAATGATTTAGTTTTTAATATATTAATAGTACTAAAGATAATTTACAGTAATAATCTATAAATATTAAATTTTATAATTAAAGAATAATTCAAATTATAAAGAAAACAAAATATTATACTCTAAATTGTATTTAGAAAGAAAATTTTAATAACAAGTGTGTTAATATATAAAAGTCATTTAGTTTGCGATTATTTTTATTAATTTATAATAAAGACAAGCTATATTATCTTGATAACAGATTAAAAAAAAAATTAATAGAATTCAAATATATATATTTATTTATTTAAAAAAATTTTTTATTGATTTTTTGATTATATATAAAAAAAATTTATAAAAAGTCTTTTCACTTTTTTGTTAATAAAGTCTTAACACTTTTTTAAAAATAACTTGAAGTATAACTTTATATAAAAAAAAAAAAAAAACTATTACATAGTATACAAAGCTATTCTAATTTTTGAAATAAGTTGATATAAAAGTTCTATATAATAAAAATTTTATTTATTTTTTTTTTAACTATAATCTTTCTTTTAGAGCTTCTATTTTAATAATTTTCTGAAATATTTTATTAATTTTGATTTGATTTTAATTTTTGAATAACATATCTTTATAAAGATAATTGAAGAATATAAAATATATTAGTTATTGAAATAAAAACAAGTTTTTATTGATTATATTTATGTAATTTAATAATAACAGTAGTAATTAGAAAAAAAAGCTTGAATAAGTTTAATTTGAAACTCATAAATTTTCATAAAGGTATTTATGATATTGAAAATCAAAAAATATATAATATGAATTGTAAATTTCTATTTTTGCAAGTTTCTCTAATAATGAAAAGACTTTATTAAACAAGGTTAAAATCTTTCTATTTCTTTTAAGCCATTTCAATTTGATATTTGCTTATTAATAGACTTATTTAATTGACTATCTAGATATTATAGATTGTAACAAAGAATATTTTTCTGAGATTTAATTTGAAGTATAAAGAATATTACAATTAGATAATTCTTTTTTGAAAGGAAATTAATATTTCTGTTAATTTTTTGAAAAAAATCTTAGATTTTTTCTCTTTTATCCTTCTTTTTTTTTTTAATTTAACAATTCATAGTTTTTTTGGATCAACCAACAATAATAAATTGTTGATAATAAATTTAAGAGATAAAGATTAATTCCATCTTTTAGAAGAGTAAAATATTATTCTTTAAATCCAATTTAGAATATTTAGGTATAGTAATTTATAAAAATTTGTAATATTCTAGTTATATAAACTTCTTAATAAAAATAGGCTAAATAACATAGTTGCAAAAATTTTTTGTAAAGAAATTGGTTCTCTTTTTTAAAATAAATTTTTAGTATCTATTGATTTGATTTAAAAAAAATTAGATACCGTATCTAATATATAGCATAAAAATTTTATTTAAATTAAATTATTTGAAGAAGCATTGTTTACCCAACCCTTCACAATAATCGGTAATCCAATTTAAATAGAATTTTTATTCAAATGAATTGATAAATATTGAAAAATTATTTTAAGAAAACGATTGTGAGATAACGGTATTAATTTTTATAATAATCCTAAAGCTTAATTTATTGTGTGCAAAAATGGCATTAAATCGAACCAATTGTCATAGAGAAAATTGCTTACAAATCACATGCCCGCCGACTTTTGGCCCCTCTGTATATTACCTTTTCAAAGCACAATAATTAGCGCGTGTTAGAAACAATAGGAAAAACGATGGGTTCTGGGAGAGGACATAGGTAGGAAGTAAAGGCGAAGAAAATTTGTCGGTAAAATCAAAAACGTGAAAAAGTGGACGAAAGGTGTTTCCAAAGGGGTTATAAAAGAAGAAAGAAAAGATACACATTCACACAATAAACATACTGCTGCTTTATTCTTTTGTGCAATTACACGAGAAATAGAGGCACTGAACATATTTTAAATATACGCATTTTACCCGTGATGCAAATTCGAATGATTTTATAGTTTCCAATAATCAAAGCATTTATTATAAATTAAATGAATTACTTTACGTATAATAAATAAGAAAAGAAATTGTGAAGGATTGTGTGTGACGGATGCATCATCAAACTGTGATAACAACCGATAGATCATTAGTCCGATAAGGTTGCCCTCTATAACACCTAACTCTTAATTAAGTTTCTTCGTTTAACTCTCACTTTTAACTCTTTGCACATTCTTACACCGATAAATTGATAGTTTATGGGTGCATTCATATCCACGAGCTCCACATCGTATTTCATATATAGCATTAGTAGTGTCGCCTTGACTTCTATCATCGCTAGATTTCTTCCGGGACCTAAGAGAAGTATGTCACAAGAGGATTAGAAGAGCAAGAAACCTATCAAGTTATAATGGTAAATAATAGACACATACACTTTCTTTCACCTGCACCAAACATATAAAAAGGATTCTTGTTCTCCGGATTTGACTTCAAAAATCGATCAGGATTAAATTCTTCGGGTTTTGACCATAGAGATTTCTGCATGTGAAGAGCCTGGCGACTTGCGGTAAAGGATGTACCAGATGGGAACGTGATGCCACCAATCGTAACGGGATCCCTATTTATCCTATTACCAATAGGGACGACGGTGAATACCCGGTTGACTGTAAATAACGACGATAAATGATAAGTAATTTTAAAAATTAATGTTAAGCACTATAAGATAAAAAAAAATTACCTTCTTTAATGACAGCTTCGGTGTATTCAAGTTTATTAAGAAGATCGACGGTTATTTTAATGTCAGGATTTCCTCCGGTGACCGTCTCAAATTCCTTTAGCAATTTTTTTTTGACTTCAGGATAATGAGCCAGATAATGAACCACAAAGCAGCTAGTATTTGATCCGGTATCAATTCCGCCCAACATAACCTCAAGATAATTAACGAAGATTTGTTCATCACTCATTGATTTAGTATGCAGATCATCAGCAATTCTTTCGGTAATGTCGCGTGGAGTGTTAATTGTCAGGAACATAGTTAGCATGTCTGGAACAAGCGGTTGACCTTCGGGTGTTGCATCAATTTCTGCTCGCTTTGCTCTAATCGTTTTGAGAATGTTATCTCTTAGCCAAAAGAATTTTTTCCTAAGCTTCGCGGTGTATATATTGAATCCAGGGAAGTTGCGTACATAGGAGGGAAACACTTCGTACCACCCTACTATTAGGAATAAAGAGTTGACGGCGTCTATAAACAATCCACTTTCGTCAGACCCTTTATTAGCCTTCTTCTTGTTAGACTTATCGGTGAGAATTTCATAATATCTGACCAGTGCGTTAGCTGGTTTGCTGGTGGTGGTAATCACGATTGTTTCCATAAAATATCTTTTCATCCAATCCGCGAGATCCAGGACAAAATCTTCGCCCAGTTGATCCCAATATCTATTCATCTCCTCGAATCCTGCTTGCACGCTAACCACAGCTTGCTTACAGAATGCCGGTGATATTATTGTTTTCGCAAAGAATCTTCGATTATATACCCAACCATCATAATCATTGTAAATAATTCCTGCCTTAAATAATCCCAATTCTTTTAATTCGTCGGGATGACTCGTAAGCTGAAAAAAGTTGCTATTTAATGTTGGCTTCATCATTTCCTTCACCAAATCTTCATTGAGCAAACAGACAACGCGATTAGGTCCCCTGTAGAATTCGAAGATGTCACCGTATTTTGCTTGAAGATTTTTTATTACTATGGCGTTATCCCCCGAAAACATAAAGAAATTTCCAAAAAGTGGTAATGGAATAGGACCAGGTAGGGGATTCTTACGAGTAAAATACTTGTAGTAAAAATAGACGACGTAGGTTATTGCCCCTACCATCAAAATTGATGGCAGTTCTTGCAAATTTACATGACTCAATAATCTCGCGAAAAGTTTCATCTTGGCCAGAGAATTGGAATTTTACAGGTGAACATTGAACGAAAAATTGGTCGCATATTTATAGGTTAAAGTATCGGTCCAGGTACTGTATATGCGAACATGCATTTTCGTCGATCGGGTTTCAATCGTGCATTCGAATTTTGGAGTAATATTGGTGTTCTTACCCAAAACATCAATTCAAAGGATCGATTTTTCCACCTGTCACAGCATCTATGAGATGACCATCCGTGAATTACATCATTTTACACAGCGACTTGGACCAAAGTACGTCAACCATTTAATTAAGCATTATTTTGTAGAACCACAAAGCAATGCAAATGAGGTGTAACGAGTTCTTTTCGAAATAAAGCTAATGTCCTTTATCATATACAGTGCGTACGTACTGCGATGCTAACCGATCTGGGATTTTTCGCTGATCAATTGATATCCTCACTGGCTAACCGATCAATAAAAAAGATGATGCAGTACAGTACGTATAACGAAAAATCGCCCTCGTTATCACAGTACGAGAAAAAAAAATGATTAGTCAAGTATTGCGTGGCCCCCCATAAAATCGCATTTATTCATTACCATAAGAAACTCATTTTTTCGCAAAAACGTTTCGAGAATAAATTTAAAACGGATACAGTATATTCGAACCGCATTTCACATGGATCATATTGTCCACGAGATTCGCGGAAACGAATATCAACTTTATTACTAATCATTATCAAATAGCTTGATCAAATATACGTATATATTTTTTCGCATGATGTACATACAATCAACCAAAAATGTATCCCCGACTTTTTTATGATTCGTACACGAGAATCGGGCGTCACTTTTTTGTTGGCAATATCAGTATAAATTATTTTTGTTCTTTCACTTGCCATCGGGTTAGAATGTTGTCGACGATACGCTTACACGCTTTGTCAAAGTTACTTCTCTATCAACATGCCCGTTTTAATCTAATCTATTTATTATACTCTTGGCGTGACTATGGGAATGATTTGTCGCTAAAGATTAAGGTGAACAATTCTTCCGACCAATGACATCGTTGGTCGCAACTCATTACTGCAGATAGTACCAGTGTAAATTAATGGCTGAACATCATTTTGCTATTGAAGGAAAATGCGCCCGGTGGAAGAAAATCACCGGGCTTCCTCTATTAACCCGAATAATAAGTTATGCCGGCAATTTTATTTTTATCATTGCATATTATGTATTGTAAATCTCGAACCTTATTGTTAAGCCATACTGTGTTTAATCTACCCAACGATTTTTTCTATTCCTTTTCCCAAAATCACAAGTCAATCTAGTTTTAAACCTATTTACCTCGTTTTCATTATTACCTGGCATCGCTTTCGAACCTCGACGCATTCGCCGCGGATCACAACCCGGTAGAAAACGAAAATATTAAGAACTGATTGAGCACCTAAGTTGATTGACAAAAGAAATTAAGAAAAAAAGCGGCAGATAAACTCAAAATGTCATGAGAACATTATACAGTATACGTATGCGATTTTGAGCACGAATCACATGGAGTGATAAAATAACGACCGATTCACTGCTGACTCACAAGTTTCTTTGATTAAATTGTTGGGAAATACGTGGATACGTGATCTTGTAATTTGTGATTACTATAGATATAAACTAATTCCAATACACGTTAAGATTTAAGTCTATTTCATTAATTCTATTTTTTGAATAATACAGTATACCAGTAACATTAACAACAACTTTCTCAATAATACTTCAGTTCTTCCACACCAGAAACAGACAACCATCAAATTATTGGCAATATAATTAAATGACAAAATTACAATATAAAAAACAAAAAAACAAATAGACTCAAACTTAATAATAATCAATTATATGATATTATATTTATCAACATTACCCCTTTTTAAATGCAAAATATACTATAAGAATAACCAATACCTCATAAATCAATTCAAAAAACAAAGCCAGTGTAGCACTGAGCTAATAATAACAAGAATTGTTAATATTATAGTAGACAAAAGTTTAAAATCGAAATTTTAATAAAGACCAATCAACGAATCACAATCTATAGTAAATAGAATATGCTCTACATTCAAAGAAATCAAAAAAGCACTAGAGAACAGAGAAACAAGGCTAACAACTCCAGTGACGTACTTAGGTATACCATGATCCTCTTTTTAGAAACAATATATATAATATGCAATAGACTAGCAGGAAATTAAGCCTTATAGATTAGCTAATATATAAAGTAAAAAAAATAAGTAAACTTAATATCCTATTTATGTAAACGGATAGTTCTTTTACCAGACATTCACAAAAAAGTAGAATGGAATTGGATTGAATAATAACTAATCAAAAAGAACAGCAAAAAGCAAAATTTCAAGCTAAGATACAAGACATCCCATTGTTTACAAGAGCTGAGTTAGTTGATATTCTAACAGCAATACGTACTATAGATATTGACAAAAACATTTTTATCTTGATGGATAGCTAGTCACCAATCAACACTCTCAAAGATATCTCTGACCAGAAAAAACATTGTGAAAGAATAAACCAATTAAACCAAATTCTCATCAATACTATTATTGATTTAATAAATATCAAAGGACTTAAGATAAATTGGAAGAAAGAACTGGAAGAAAGTGAAAATCTATCAAGCATTTCAAATAATAAAAAAGCAAACCAAATGGCTTCAAAAAGTCTCACCGACAAACTGAAACATAGAATAATAGTAAATATACAAGTAACTATATGCACAAAAGACTCACAAGATAGAATCAAAAACACTACAATATTCCAATAAAGTTCTTAATGAAACAAATACTAAAAGCAAATAGAAAAGCAAATGATAAACACTAAGAAAAAATGAAGACTGAATAAACCAGAAAAATCTATGGAAATATATTAGTCTTTGACTTTTATGCTACCAATATCCACAGAGATCACATTAACATTAATGAATACTAAAAATCACATGAACCATTTCTTCAGAATTAAATATGAATAGAAGAATAACCAATAATGGATAGGTTGAATAAGAGAAGACCAGACTTTTATTAAAACAATAGATACAAAATTTGTAACTACCACAATTAAACTAATAACTATATCTTCCAATACAGTCTGAATAAGACATTAAAAAAAATACATTCAAGCTTTTATAAAAAAAAGTATAGTAACAGCTGAAGGCAGACAAACAAACTAATTCAAAATAAATAAAAAAAATATTGATAATACAGAATATAAGAAACTCACAAAATCATAGCACAAGATAGAATGAAAAGATATAATCAGAAGAAACATTATATATGAAATTATTCATATATCTGAAATTATTATAAAAGATAAAAGGAAAGTACTGAAAGCAATTGAAATAGCCATTTACAAATTTTGACAAATAAAGCAAGAAGCATGAAAATCTAGATGTAATATCATGGTCAATGGAAAAAGAAGTTAAGACATAAACAAAAGACTTAAATAAAAAAAGTGAACTAAGGCTATAATAGAAAAGCAAAATTACAAAATTTAGACTTATCAATTATACAAGCTATTAAAAACTTTGAAATAGATCCAAAACCTAAATAGATACAAATAGATTCAAGAAAATATCTAAAAAAGAAGTTTGTAGAAATATATATAGAATCAACAAATCTTATCACAGAAAAATCTTAAATAACAATTATTTCTTTTTTTTTTTATTAATATCAGTGCTAGTGAAATTCTGATACATTAGTATTTACAAAGATGAATAGTAGCAAGTTACAGAATTTTTAGTTATAGAATACTAAGTCATAATATATTTTTTTTCTTTCATAAATATACAGACTCAAATTAAATTTATATATATAAGCCTATACTAATAAATAAATAAAAACTCAATAATAAAGTTTCACTAGTTAAAAAAAAAGTCTTTCAAAAAAGATATTCTATAAAATATTATAACTTATTTTACAAATAATTTTAATTATTTTTAATATATTGTTTAAAATATATATATTAAAAATTTTAATAAATTTATAATAGTTAAGGACTTGTATTCAAAAAATAAATTATAAAAAAGTTATTAAATATAATTTTTCTTAAATTTTAAACTTTATTTTATAAAAAATATTTTTTTTTTTTTTTTTTTTTAGCTGGCAAAATTATGCCATGTAGTTTTTATTTAATCATTCATATTCTCTTATATACACAAATTGAATTGCAAGAAAAATACATTTATGATAGAAGAAAAACTAATGGCTCAGTATCTTACGAACTCTGCGACTTACTTCAGTCACCATTAGGTGAATGTTAGTATGTCATGACTCCACTAACACTAGTATTTGTATAGAAGAGAGAGTTAATATTAAAACTGTTTTGTAATATGTTTCTCATATTGCAGTTTGTTAATTCTATAAATAGATGTTCCTTATTATCTGTCAATCCTTCGTTCTGGAGTGTTCTTGTGTTTTTGATGTAGTGTTGTTCCTGTTTCATTCTCATTTCATCTTCTTGAATATTCACTGTATTTTTTCCTATTCTGACACCAGGTCACATCTTAGCTTCCAGATGTTTCTTCTTTCTTGCCATAGTTGTTTTATTGCTTTCTTTATTGCTACCTTAGCTGCCTTTTCATTTCCTGTTATTTTCTCTGTTGTCTGGATTATCTTGTGTGTTACCACTCCTCTGATGATGTCTGTTGGTTCTACTGTTTTGTGTTTTTCTTCTCTTTTGGCTGGTTTAAGGAGGTATTCCCATTGACTTTGAATAGGTTGCAGCTGTTTGTTTCCATTGGCTCTTGCTGTGCACTCTTGTGTCAGGAATTTTATCAATTTCTCTATTATCCTTGTTCTGTTTGATCCATATGTGAAGGGGTATAGGTCTTTTTCTTCCTGTCTGCCACAGATTATACACAGTGATGATTTGTAAATCCATGGTTTGCGTCTGTTCATATTTGCCATCGTAGGGTGTTCATTAGACCACGTCTTCTATCTGAAGGTTCTGTCCCTGTGATCATCTTGACTTGTTTGCAGAGATGT